TACGGAATTAGATAAATTGAAAGAACAATTGAATAGTGTTACTACTGAGAAAAATCGTATAGAAATGGAACTTTCGAAATATAATCTAAGAGAAAAATTATTTGAACAACAAATTGCTAGTATGAGAAATCGGATTTCCGAGTTAGAAAATCAGCAATCGGAAATAACTGTTCATTCGTGTCAAAATATTTCTAAACATGCGATCAAGAAGTTCCATTTAGATCGATCTATAGAGATATGTAAGGAAGGTGGTTGCCGTGTATTAGATTACAATTCATGGTTTGGATTCCTAGTTGTATCTCAGAAATCGACAAATACATTATTTTCTGGTTATGGTATTAAAAAAATTGATTCCGATAAATTTCAACCACGTCAATTTATTTTTCTACATAACCAAGCTATAAGAGATGTTACGTTTAATACAACCCAGCAATCATTATTGCTCAGCGTTGGTTTTGATAAATGTGCAAAATTAATGGATATCCAGAATCATATTATCGTGCATGCTTATCAAACGGAATCACCGCTGTGGAGTTGCTGTTGGTCAGGCGATAATTCAAACATATTTTTTGTGGGTGCACAAAATGGATCTATAACACAATTTGATATTAGACAAACTTCTGGTGCTATTGAAACTTTAGATAATCCAGGTGATAGATCACCGGTAGTTTCTCTAGCGACAGTATCTTCTAATCCTGGTAGCGGTATTAGCCGGGGTGGATTCATAGCGTGTCGTTTGAACACGTGTTACGCTTATGAACAAAAAGATTCAAAATATACGCCTAAACAAATATTTCTTGAAGGTCCATTTGTATCTGTATGTTATGATAAAAAGAATAATCATGCTTTAATATCTTCCCGACCAAATGTTAGACAACCTCATGCGAGACATATAGTATGTACCATAGAAAAAGGCAATGATGAATCAACAATTTGTAATGTAATACACACATTTCATGCTGGTAATTCTCAACAATTATTGTCCCGACCATGTTACATATATATTGAAAATGATACGTTAGTTGCTGCGCATCAAGAATCTACTAGTTGTATATCGTTATGGAGTATATCTACTGGAAAACAAGTAAATAGTATCCCTGTTTCTGATCCTGTAGTAGATATGTGTACGGTTGATGTTAATAGCCATTTATTTTTGACAACGCTTTCTTCAAAAAAAATTAGAATTTATAATCATGGATAATTATCATTGGTAAATAGAAATAGTAAAAAAATAAAAGTAAATAGAAATAATTTTTTTCCATATATCATATATTTATAATGTAATAGATTATTATCAATAACATTATACATATATATATATATATTTTTATTATTTTTTTATCTTTGAATAATATTTGTTTGCATAAAATTATTCATGATAAAAATTGGTAAAAAATATAAAACTTGATCTAGACTATTCTAAATAAAATAAATTTTCTTATTAATGACAATGCAAAAACTTTCCACCTATTTATACAACATAAATTATTAAAAAAAAAATGTTAAGAAGAAAATTAATATTACCGTTACCCATTTAAAGATATATTTGTTTATTGCTATGTATATATGCAATAAACATTTTTTATATAAATATATTTTTCTATCAATTTAATAAATTTGTAAGTTGTTTTGAACATTATTTCTGAACAATATTCTAATAAATTTGAATAGCAACATCATAAATAATTATATGTTTATATTATATAATTAAATAATATAATAAATGATACAAAAAATTTATTAAACTTAAAATTATCGATATAATAAAATAAAGAATTTTTTTGTACGAATAATTCCTATTGCTTTTTATTGAAAAATGTTATTTATTGTTATTCTTAAAATATTAAATTACATTTAGAATCTATATAATGTTCTAATCGCAAATTAAATTAATATATATTTATTTTCAAAGATTTGTTTCGAAATCAAATATAACAAATAATATTTTAATCCACTGGTATATCTCTAACATAGCTTATACAAAATTATTAGAAAATACAGAAAAAAATGTAAAAAGAAAATTAAAAATTTCGCAATGCGTTAAAAAAAAATATAAAATATATAAATTTTAAAGAAGATAACATGCTACACGAGTCATCTTTTGAACAAGTTTCAACAAATGTATTCTATAATATGATTAGCTATTTTATCAATGATTTGAGAATAATTATTTTCTCAAATTTTATAATTTATAAATTTTTTTAAGCAATTTTTCACAAACACATTGTAATAAATTTTATTAAATATTTTTAGTTAGATATAAATTACTTTAAATTTTTTTAAATTTCATAAGCTGGAAGTGTCAATTGAATCAATGCCATTTTTTGTATTTTTGATTTTTAAATGTTATTTAGAAACAAAATTTATTTTGTAACATTATTCTAATATATACGTAATATGTGATAAATGTAATTTTTAACGTGGAATGTACATCTCCAGCTTCGAGTACAAAAAACTATGCATACATAAAAAAAAAATATTTATAAACGATATGATAAATATTATGAATCATGGAAATATATAACCCATCACCAAAAATGTACAGAATTTAAATATCAACGGTATAACATTTATGTTTATGATTCTTTTTACAAATTCCATTTAATATTAACAAGTTGATATCTATAATGTACAATCAGATATAATTAAGATAATATAGAGATAATAAGCCTCTTTATGGCTTAAAGAAATCTACAAAAATCTAATGACAAAAATATAAACTAATCATGGTTTTCATTTTAATATAAAAAACCATATACAAGATAGATATCTTTATATCATCAAAATGAAATAATGCTATTTTTTGCAAAAAATTTTTCAATAAAGAGCACAAATATATATATATATATGTATATATATATATATATATATATATCTCATTTAAAAACAATTACATTAATTAAAGTGAAAGGAACATCTAAAAAAAAATTTAGAAGTATACAGTTATTTGTACAAAAAGATTTAATAATTGTTTATCATATAAAGCCATTTTTTAATGTTGAAACAAAAAAAGGATGATAAATGCTTTATGGCTTAAATAACAATTTTAAAATTTTAATAAACGTAAGATAAAAAATGACATACTTTTCATACAGTTTTTTAAAATTTGACTATTAAGTTGGACTTAACAGATTTTATTAATTACTGTTTTTTTCATGCCTATTTTACACGTTAAATAAATGAGTATTATTTAGGGTTATTAAAATGAATTTTCTGTGAATCTTTTTGCCATTGAAATATTGTCGTTACAAGTGCTGAATTTGATTATGAAATTCCTATGGTATCGATAATTGAACATGGTATTACAGAAGTTTTGTAATGACAAAATGAGCAGTGTTTTTATATGATGGATTAATTATACAGTTATCACTAACTGAAGAGCTGTTCAGTAGCACGTTCCAAATCCCAATTATATGAAGATAAAGCAACTCTTGCATTATGTTCTTCGATTCCCATATCTGTTAGTCGTCTTATTTTATCATCTAAATCAGGCATCTTTGCTGGTCCTATAATTATTTTATTTTTGCAATAATTAATAATTAATTTCAAGATATATATATATATAGATATAAGCAAAATCATGACGTTATGGTTATAATTAGAAATTATATACTTACCACCTGCATACACATATGTCCAATGTTTGGCAGTTTGACGAAACATTTCTGGATGCTCTTTATATTGCCTAGCCACTACTGCATCCTGTGGATCATCTGGTTCTGCTGCGGATAATAAAGCCTGTAATGATAGCAATACTGTGCGCAAAGTCATGGCAGCAGCCCTAAAAAGCGATATTTAAAATATGAAATATGACTTAAAAAATAAAAATGTTATATTTTATTCTTATTAAATATAATTACATACCATTGGTCTTTCAATATATCTAAACAAATAGCACCTGTTACTGAAGATATATTAGGATGCCATATTTTTGTTATGAATCGTACCTATAAAAAGAGAAAAAAAATGTATATGATAAAATATAATAATTAAACGACAATAAATAATAAACTATTATATAAATATGTATATATTCGTTATATCTATAATTGATTCTTAATCATTTTTATAACATTTCATAACTAAATTTTTTAATATAAAATTGATAGAATATATTTCTAATATTTTCAATTTCGCAATATTTTATACTTTATATAATTTAAATTATAATATTATGAAATAAAAAGTTTTTATAAATATAAATAAAAACAAACAGCTTGGAAAGTGCTTTGTCATGCTTTAGGTTATATTGACTTTTCTTAACTTTGAATAGAAGAAAATTGATACTTTATCATTAACATAATTTAATCGTATTGACTTACAAAGTGCTTACTTTAGGAGGATTGAAGGGATATGTCTCGGGAACTTTAATCTCGAGCACAAAATTACCTCCCTCGTATGGTGTATCTGGTGGACCCGCAATCTCACCTTTTAATTCGGTAAAACTATCATTTACTAGTTCAACTTTAATTGCACATTTTGCAACCTATAACAACAAAATTTAAATAAATTACAAAAAACAAATATATATAAATATATATATATACATATATTTATAATTATTACATTATATTTATATTATCATTAAAATTTTTTCAAAATATATTTACTTACATGAATGTGTCTACAATTTGCATGAAACAAAATTAATCTTACATTTTTTTTTTTAAATCTATAAACAAATGAATAATAAAAACACAAAAATCAATAACATGAAAGTATAATTGCAGGTAATTACATTGCAATTGTCTATTATGTATTAATATATAAAGAGTTATATAATTTTTGATATAAATTATAAAATATATAATGATTTTATTGAATAACAGATATAAAAATAGCATATAGAAAATAACACTGTAATGGCATATAAATGATTTTTGAAAAGTGTATGTAAAATATAACCAATGACCTAATGACATTATCATCTGATATTGAAATGATGTAATATCGCATACTAATAATTTACCATATTGTTGCAATATAAAGATTGAGACATTCTGGTGTATTCTACTTCTCTATAAACATGTGGAAATAATGAAAACAGATATATTTGTGTGCATATAGAATGGATCTTTTAGAACAGAAGAACGAGCGAATATGTCAATGCTCACAAAAATTAAAGACAAATGGTATGTATTATATTTCAACAAAATATTAATAAAAAAAAATTATTTGTCAATATTAGCATCAAATATAAAACATAAATGTATTATTCTAAATAATTAAAATTGTATTTTAGTCCATTGAAATATCTGAAAAGTACAGAGAATTTATTTAGAATTATTTTTTTCTTAAGTAAAAATATTTAATAGAAATATTTTTACTGCGACAAAATATAAATGTTTAATTGGTGAATTTTAACGAGATTAAATGCTGATGACAGTCAAGAATACTATACAACAGGTGCCTATGCTTTGTTCGCGGTGATTTTCAACCAATGAATTGCGGCATTTTTGTCACGCCACACATGAAATATCTTTGGAATAGTATAACATAACTGTTCGATATTGTTAAGCAATTTTAATATTTATATCTTGAATACGAAACAAATCATATTTTTTTAAAATTATACAAAATTATTATTCGCTTACCTCTTCGCTTCTTATAACCTCTTTAAATTCGCGTTGGATTCTCAGTGCCGCGATGTTCGCCATAGCTTCCGAATCGGTGAGAGTCAGTACACTGTCATCGTCATTCGAATAGTTTAACGAAGTTCGCTGAATGCGTCAACGTGCACAAATCTTTAAGGTAATAGTGATTGAGCTTACTCTCTCTTTCTATTTAAAAAAACGATCGTTCTAAATCGTGTTCTATACTAAAATCTCCGTTCACGGATACATCCAATTTATCATTTAATCACTGCCGGCGCCACATTGATGAGAAAAGTTGACTGTCACCTGCTCGTGTTCACCCTTTTGAATTTTGTCTACGTTCACGTCATTGCCTGTATGGCGCCAATTTATAAATTGTTGAAAAAAATATGAATATAATAATAATAATTTAATTATTTTATGATTTACTTATATCTATCAATAAAGCATATTTAATATATCTTTATATTCTCGATAAAACGTGTTTAAAATCTAAACAAAAACGAACATCTATTGATAAGATATTTTGATTAAGGTTATAACTTAGAATATGATAAATATTAATTATATTTTGAATTATATAATAATAATAAGAAAAAAATATAAATAAAAATAAATTTTAAAATTAATTGTAAAACGTATAGCAATTTGAAATGTTATGTTATAAAATTAGCTGATTAAAATTTCTTTCTAAATAAAGAATTAGATATCGAGGCAATCGTATAATGATATAATATAATCAAAATATCGCCAGTGATATTTCTGAATATTATATAATTTTTATATATTTTTATATTTGACTTTAATTTATTATTTTGTTAATAAAAAAAAATATGATAAGAAATGCATTTACGCGGTTATAGGATTTACACTGAATGGGCGGAGCATAATATTTACATCATATCCGGTTTTAAAAACGTTCTCTGATTGGATAATCTCTTTGTGGTTTCTGTTTTAGTGATGCCTGTGTCTCAGCCAGTGCGTGCCAAGAGTTTGTTACGCGCAAACTTGGAAAATTCTCGCGGGCGACTTTTGCAGAGCAGAATGCCAAACATTAAAGTCTTTAGTGGCACATCGCATCCAGATTTAGCTCAACGCATTGTTGATAGACTTGGTATTGACATTGGAAAAGTTGTCACGAAGAAATTTAGTAACCTCGAAACATGGTAATAATCGTACTCATCGCTATAACCACGTTATTGTCATTGCGTTAAACTAAAGTTCTGACCACGTGTCATCTAAAATTTCACATAATTCTTTCTGTCGAATTTATCTTTCCATAAAGAAAAGAACGTTTTTAGTACGTTTATTTTAATCATTCCATATTCTCGTTGATTTATCAACCCTGCTAATGTACAAACAACCCTGTCGCGCAAGGCCGGTTCTCTCGAATATCATCAAACCGCGATATTTAAGTTGAAGGTCAACTAGTACAATTATTAATATACATTCTAGTAAATTTTGACAATAACGTAACTGTAAAAATATTATTATAAAAGTAATTATAAAATATTATAACATATAAGTATATGATAAGTATATGATTTTATTGCCATGTTATTGTTTGTTCATATTTGGTGGTGTCATATTGTTGGTTCATACTATACTTTGCATTCATATTTATAAGTATTCTTTTAAATTCATTAATTTTTTATATAATGATATGTTTATGTATAATATATATTAATAAGATTATGATAATTATATTTCTTTCTTTCTTTTTTTTATTTTTTTTTTCCTTTTTTTCTTTTTTTTTCTTTTTTTTTTTTTTTTTTTTTT